GCTTCGGCGTAGTCACAGAATATAGTGCACAGGCAACCTGGCCCGCAGCTACAGTGGGGTTATTGGGGGGCTCCGCCCCCCTCCTCAAAGGGCCAACCCCACAAGATTTGTTTAAGAGGAATTGGTTTTTGAGAAGAAGTGGTGGATGGCATACACTCCTCTCCCTCCCTCCTGCAAAATTTAAAGGGACCTCCAGGGGATTGGTGGCCACGTGCTCCCCATCGATCACCTGAAGGGCCCTTTAAATCTTGCAGGAGGGGAGGGCGAGGGGTGGCTGCTGGTGGTTGGGCTTGGGGGTGGATTGGAGCTGGCATAAAAATAATGGCAGCCCCTCCAGAATGTTTTTTTGCCCCAAACGCCACAAAATTGCCACTCGAGGGACTGTTTCTTTTCCCATGGCTACCCCCCTGCTCATTGAGATCTGAGAATCCCACAGTGGTTCCACCATATATCTAGGGTCGCCAGCCTCCAGGTGGGGCCTGGAGATCTCCAGCTGACAGAGATCAGCTCCCCTGGAGAAAATGGCTGCTCTGAAGGGTAGACTCTATGGCATTGTGCCACGCTGAGGCCCCTCCCCTCCCCAAGCCCCACCCTCTCCTGACTCCATCCCCAAAATCTCCAGGTATTGTCCTACCCAGACCTGGCAACCCTACATATATCAGGGCTCCCCAACCTTCGTGAGCCTGCAGGCACCTTGGTCATTCTGAAACAGTGCGGTGGATGGAGCCACAAAATGGCTGCCACAAAAGGTGGAGCCAGCCACAAAATGGCTGCCGCAGCTTACCTTCAGTCACACAGGGAAGATCCTTCAGCTGTGGCGGCAGCCTGCCACTCAAGCAATGCCGTTGTTTTTTAATCTGCACAGCCAACCAAATCACCAGTGGCCAATCAGAAGTCTGGCTGGGTAAAAGGCCCAACTGGCCCTGCCTTAGGGTCTCCAGCCTCCAGGTGGGGTCCGGGGATCTCCCGCTTTTACAACTGATCTCCATCCGACAGAGATCAGCTCCCCTGGAGAAAATGGCTGCTTTGAAGGGTGGCCTCTGTGGCATGGTACCCTGCGGAGGCCCCTTACCCTCCCCAAACCCCGCCCTCTCCTGGCTCCACCCCCAAAGTCTCCAGGTATTTTCCGGCCCAGACTTGGCAACCCTACCCTGCCTGCCCACTTTCTAAAACAACTTGGTGGGCACCAGAAAAGGAGCTGGAGGGTGCCATGGAGCCCTTGGGCACTGCTGCTGTATTAGGCATTACTGGTTTTGGCCCCGATGGTACAGAACCAACTGCAGGGCCAAAACCAGATCCAGGACCTTGGGTCATTTTAACAGAGCCCCAAAGGCCTATTTATGCACTTCTAGAGCAGTGACTGGAACTCTTTCATGCTCCTTTAAGCCTCACCAGTAAGTTTTAAAAGAGTATGAGTCACACTCTGCTTCCTCCAGGCACCCCCTCAGCATAGGTTTGCCAGGTCTCCTCGTTCCTCCAGCAGGGGTTGGGGGCTGGGAGGTGTCCCGGGGCTGGGCAGGGATGTCATGTGACATCCCCGGCCTGATGACGTCACCTGGAAGTGATGCGTTGGTCTTTGGGCGAAACCCTATGGCGTGTTTTGCCCTCAACACCACAGAGTTTGCCCAGATACCAGAGTGTCCACCACACACCCCTGATGTGATGACATCACTTCCAGGTGGTGTCGTTGCATTGAGGACATTGCATTGAGGACGTCCCTTTCTACTGGAGGGGTATCCCCTCCTCCGCCAGCTTGTCCGTGGCAGAGGGAAGCCCCCAAAACTGGGGGATGCCCTGCTCGGACCTGGGGGCTGGCAACGCTACCTCAGCATGAAATGGGAGGCTGCTCTCCTCGTGACATCGCAGTGACCTTGGAGTGCCTCTGGGTAGATGGGCCAAGCGTCGCTAGTCAGCCATGTGGCCTCAGCCTGGCCACCGGCCTCAGTCGACGCCCCCCCACCCTGCCTGGACCATGCAGGCCGTGATTTACCAGGGACACGAATTGCCACACTCACCAGAACTCTCCATCATTGTCCATGGTGAGTCCGATCTTCCTTCTTTCTTTATCGCTCACGTTTGTCCACTCCTCCGACCTGGCAACCAAGTGATTTGTTATATGGAATATCCCTCTGGTTCCTGCGAAGCTGTAATATACTGAGCCAGACCCATTCTATTCATTTAATATTTTCACTTTGCTTCATTTATAACCCTCCTTTCTCCACTAAGCAGCTCACGCTAGTCTGCCCTCCTCCTGTGTATCCTCACAACAGCCCTGTGAGGTAGGTGAGGCTGAGAGGGGGTGATTGGGCCCAAGGTCACCCAGCGAGATGCCATAGTTAGGTTTGCCAGCACCAGGCTGGGAAATACCTTGAGATTTGGGGGGTGGAGCGTGAGGAGGGCGGGGTTTGCCACAAAGTCCATCATCCAAAGCGGCCATTTTCTCCAAGTGACACAAACAAGAGATTAATCCCAGGAGATCTCCAGCCACCCCCTGGAGGTTGGCAACTCTATTCATGGTGGAGTGGGGCTTAGGGTTGCCAGGCCCTTTGCTTTCACAAACAGGGGGAGGTAAGGAGCCTTCTGGGAGTGGGGGGGACCCAACGTCACTGTGCGTGATGTCCCCAATGCGACCATGTTGGGGACACTGCACTGGGGCATGGCTGTTGGGGGTGGGGCTTGCCCACTGGCCAGCTGGCCGGCAGTGGCCAGGTGTCAGGACCCACAGTCAAACAACAGAGCACATGCTTCTTCAAAGGTTTTACTTTATTGTTAGCACTATGGTAGCATAGACACAGGCACTGTTAGGAATAACTACATCATAGAAAGCTGAGAGGGATAGAGGGTATTCAAAAGCGCACACACACTCCACCTATGGGCCAATCGGCCTGACACCTGCAGGCGGGAAAGAGGACCAAGGCAGTTAAAGCCGAGGCTGGGAAACAAAACTAGTCTTACGGTTAATTGATGGGAAGACACTACACAGGCTGGCTACAATGTCAGTGATAACGAGGGGGAGAAGCAAAGAGAAAGGAATGCGGCAGCAACTGGCACACAGGTCATGAAAGCGAACCCGGGCCCATAAACCATATGGCAGCATAGCTGACACCAGGAGCCTGCAAAACCAGGAGATCCCCCGCTCCCACCTGGGGGCTGGGAACCTTAGTGGGTATTTGAACATGAAGTCTCCCACATCTTAGTCCGACACTCTAACCCAAAGGTGTCAAACTCATTTGTTACGAGGGCCAGATCTGACATAAATGGCACTTTGTTGGGCCAGGATATGTGTGCCATAAAATGTAATGCCAGATACCAGAGATATAAACTGTATAAAGGACAGCAGCTTGTATGCTCTGAGTTGGTGCGTTAAAGATGCTTGACTGCAGCTTGGCATGCAGCACTCTGTTTATGCCTCTGAGCTCCTACTCCAGAGAAATGGAACTGGGGATCAGGCTTTTTGCTTCAGGGCTTTCCCTTCCTCAGTTGGGACAAGCTCAGGAAGCCACGATGGCGGAATGAGAAGAACCCCCAGAGCCTGAGATCACTGCAAGGGAGTCTGATAGGATCCGTGTGCTTAGAAAACTGAGGAAACGCCTGTCTTTAAAAATGCAAGCGTCAGCCCTTGCCTGAATACAGACATGTAATGCCAGATACCAGAGATATAAACTGTATAAAGGACAGCAGCTTGTATGCTCTGAGTTGGTGCGTCCTCACTGCAAGGCCCCCCTGGGGTGGGAGGGGGGCGCAGAGGAAAACCCCCATGGGCAGGCTGGAGAGGTAGTAGTGCAGTGCTGGGCAGATGCTCCCATGTTGCTTGACTGCTGCAGACGAGGTTGTTCTGCCATGCTGAAGCCACAATGGAGTGGCTCCGCCCACCCCCTCCCAGCACTTCCTCCCTTGCAACTAGTTGCTCACGGGCCGCATAAGAGCCCTGGACGGGCCTGATCCGGCCCCCGGGCCTTATGTTTGACACCCCTGCTCTAACCATTACACCACACCGGCTCAAACTGTGGTTTGAGCATCTAAGAGCACAAGTGGCCAAACCAGAGAGCAGAACTTGTCTTCTTCCACTTTTGGCCTGATCCCCAGTTCCATTTCTCTGGAGTAGGAGCTCAGAGGCATAAACAGAGTGCTGCATGCCAAGCTGCAGTCAAGCATCTTTTTTTTTTTAACTGTCCCCAAAGGGGCAGGATTTTATTACGTTTTCCACATAACATACACAAACAATCATAACATATACATACATATACATACATACTAACATACAAACAAATACATGGAGGTTATTCTTAATTCTACCAATATTTATACTAATACCTATTCCGCCTTAATAACAATTTCTCATGAACTGTGTAAGCAACTTTTCTGTCTCTATCATCCTAACAGGTATATATTTCATTTAGTAAACTATTGGTCTGTCTCTTGCAAGCTTGCCTACATATGTTTGTCATACCAGTTATAAAACCGTGACCAAGTATTCTCAAATGTCGAATCTGTTGCGCTTTTTATCAATAAAGTCAATTTGTCCAATTCCGCAGCCTCCAAGATTTTGTTTACAAGTTCTCGTTTTGTTGGTATCTCCAGTAATTTCCAATATTTTGCATAGAGAATTCTTGCAGTCAAGCATCTTTAACAAACTCCTCCAAAACACTGTCCCTGTTCTTACATTGGTGGCAAGTTGGGAGACACGATTCGCTGAAGTCCTGCTGTCCTTACTTTGGACATTTGAGACGATCCATTGCAACTATCGATTAAATCTAAGTGGAAGTTAATGGCTGTTTTGTCTTAAGTAAGCAGTCAGCTTTGGACAAATGGAGACCGCAATGCGGCTCTTTGCTTCAGGGCTTTCCCTTCCTCAGTTGGGACAAGCTCAGGAAGCCACAATGGCGGAATGAGAAGAACCCCCGGAGCCTGAGATCACTGCAAGGGAGTCTGATAGGATCCGTGTGCAATCGTCAGCCCTTGCCTGAACGCAGACATGCCAACCTCCAGGTGGGTCCTGGAGATCTTCTGGAATTCTACAGAGATCAGTTCCCCTGGAGAAAATGGCCGCTTGGGAGGGTGGACTCCATGGCAGTATACCCTGCTGAGGTCCCCCCCCTCCGAAACCCTGCCCTCCCCAGGCTTTGTCTCCCCAAATCTCCAGGAATTTCCCTACCTGGAGCTGGTATAGTGGTTAGAGGGTTGGACACGGATTGAGAAACCAAGGGTTCGAATCCCCAATCTGTGTCAGGCTCCCTAGTCAGGTCACACCACACAGGGCTCCATAAGAAGATAACTGTTTATTAGTGGTTCCGGTACTAAAGAACACGTGTACAGATTGTGTCAGGAATAGCCTCCAGTATACGGGCCTCTGACTTATAGTGAAATCAAACATTCCCCCCACCAGCACAAGCAAATGGATATAGTTCATGCGCGCAGCAAAGCAAGCGGGCATAGCAGACAAGCCGTTAACTTCCCCAGCCGTAGAAGCAGTACTTGGAACATCTGCAAGGTCAAGCGTAAGATAGCACACAGCAGCAGGGCAGGAAAGAGCTGAGAAGGGAAGGAGATTCCCCCTCCACATTCCAGATCTATGACAGGGCTACCTGACACTCTGCCACGGAAGCTTAAGAACATCAGAAGAGCCCCGCTGGATCAGACCAATGGTCCATCTAGTCCACCAACCTGCCTCACACAGTGGCTAACCAGTTTGATGTAGTGGTTAGGTGTGCGGACTCTAATCCAGGAGAACCGGGTTTGATTCCCCACTCCTCCACTTGCACCTGGCTGGATGAACTTGGGCAAGACTTAGTTCTGTCAGGGCTGTTCTCTCAAGGACAGTTCTCTCAGAGCTCTCTCAGCCCCGCCTACCTCACAGGGTGCCTGTTGTGGGGAGGGGAAGGGAAAGAAGTTTGTCAGCCGCTCTGAGACTCCGAGTGAAGGGCAGGGTATGAATCCAATCTCTTCTCCTTCTTCTTCCTCTGGACAGCTGGTTGACCTTGGGCCAGTCAAGCACTCTCAGCCTAAACTACCTCACAGGGTTGTTGTGAGGATAAAACAGATGACAAGGAAATGCTGTCAGCGACGTTGGGCCTCCAGTGGCGAGAAAGGCAGGATATACACAAAGTAACTAAATAAAGAAAATAATAAGTGGGGAAAAAATTGGGATGAAGAAAGGCCAAACATTCTGTGGTGGATGTAAGTAGTTGGAATATCCCCTTCCCTGAAAAGAAGTGCCTTAACTAGAACCCAAAAATATCTGCTCAGTTTTGCCACACAAAACATGTATCTGGCCTGTGGTCACATAAGCAGTTAAGTATCCGCATTAAGAAATACCCTAAAATTTCCAGAGGTATATCTGTTGTGCTGGATTTCAACTGACAGGGTACATGCCAACTGGGGGTGGGCTTTCCCCAAGCGCTAACCCCAACCCATTGCAACCGGAAGAGTCTCAGTCCAGTCTATCGCCTCAGAACTCTATCACCTCATTCTCTTAGATTCAGGTGGCTAGCCATGTTGGCCTGAAGCAGCAGAGCAAAGGTCGAATCTGCATCTGCATTTTTCAATCAGTTTTGTGCTGCTGTGACACCATCTTTCTCTATGCTTGTTTGAATGTTGTTTGGAGGAGATTCTTTCAAAGCAGTGCGGAGGTGCAATGACAGTGGAGCCGCCACGAAGGGACGATAAACATATGTGGACGTGCAAAAGTATGCTAGCACTGTTGAGGTGTGAAAACGAAACCTAATGTAGACAGCTTTTTTGAAGACGGAGTCAAAAGGCTGGGACACCGGTGGGAAAGACAAATGCAGATTCGACCAAAGTTTTTGAGTCCAGTGACACCAAGACCAACAAAAGTTTAATTCTGGGCATAAGCTTTCGTGTGCCTGCAAGCTTATATACCCAGAATTAAACTCTGTTGGTCTTAAAGATGCCACTGGACTCAGACTTTGTTCTACCTCATTCTCTTGAATGCGTCGAGCGGGCCTCTCCCTTCATCCTCAGAATGTTCCCGTTCTTGACAGCCGGGCTTTTTACGGCCTGCATGTAGAAGCGCGGAGCTGAAAATGGCAAGCTAATCCTTCGGGACCCCCCCAAGGACACGTTGCTTACTCATCACTCCACGCGCCGTTCCACTCCTTCTTCCCCCAGGGATTCCTCAGCCGGATCATGAAGAGCTTCTCAGATTTGGAGCAGGACAGCAGCCGCTCTCCCAGGCTCACCTTCCGGATGGCCGTCACCGAGTAGGCATGGCCTTGGATCAAACCCATGGCCGTTTCTGTCTCAAAATCCCGGGCGGTTAAAGGCTACGGCGGGAACGAGAACACGAGTGAATATGAGCATTGAAGACAAATAATCTAGGCTTCCCACCTCCCCTTAAGCACGATTTTACGTTCTTGGTGCTGAGAATGGCTGCTGCTGCTGCTGGCAGTTAACCAGAGTTTTATGCAGAACATTAAGCAATGATATAATGCTCTTCTCCGTTATACTGTAGAGTTGATGCCTGTCAAGGACAAACAGCCAAGACTGCGGATTCTGCATCCGTCAGCAGCATCAAAGCTTTCAGATACACTTTCGGAGGCCACGAACATAGATGGTTGTAAAAGAGGTTCGACAGATTCATGGAGGAGTGCTCCGTCAATGGCTACAAGCCATGCTCAGTAAAGGGAATCGCCAGATACAGAGGTAGTAAACCTCTGAGTACCAGCGCCAGGAGGCAACATCAAGAGAAGGCCTGGGCCTCTACACCTTGTTTACTCTCTCTCTGGGGCTACTGGTTGGCCCCTGCGAGATACCGAATGCTAGATTAGATGGATCCACCAGTCTGTTCCAGCCAGGCCCTTGTTATGTTCTCACGCACTGTAATTTTCTGTACAATCCTACATTATTTCTGTACTTGGTTCTTTAAGAATTGGGAAGAATCCCTGAGTCAGGAGAAATGGTTCTGCAGCCAATCTTTTTTCCCCTTTTAAATGCTGCTAGATAAATTTTCTCTCAAGACCATTATCTATATGGTTTGACCTATATATCTAATAGCCAAGTTACCCCCTCCGTGCAGATATCTAAACCCGCACATCGGGGGCACTTGGGAGGCAGATAGGTTGTCCTGCACACTTGGATCAGTCCCCAGGTGTGCAGAAAAATCTAAAAAGTTGAAAAAACTATACGGGGAATACTTAAATCCCCCCAAAGTAAAAGAGCGTTCCCTGCGCATACGCAGAGAATGCCCTAGCATTTGTCTCACTGCCGCCACCGCTGGGGGGGGGAGAAGGCTTGGCGGGGCCGGAGCTGTTGGGCACCCACGCATGCACGCCAACGCGAGGACAGGAGAAAGCTTGATGGGCTTCAGGGCTCCTCACCACTGCCGCCAGGTAGGGGGGTGGGAGAAGGCTTGGAAGGCTTCAGGGCTCCTCGCCGCCACTGCCGGGGGGGGGAGGGAGAAGGATTGGTGGGCCTCATGGGTCTGCCTGCTGGGCTCACCTGCTGCTGCTTCCTTCTCCTGCGGAGGTCCTGCTTCTGGAGGCTGGGAGCCATGGGGAATACTCCTTCCCCCCGCGAGTATCGCGGGTCCCCCTTCTTGTAGCATCTTAATACTGGCAGACAAGATGTGGTTTGAGAAAAAACTTGGACAATGTAGCATAATGACAAAACAAAAGTTTTAGGTCCAGACTCATAATGATGACTTCTGCCAGGGCAATCCTAAAGCGACTCACACCCTTCTGATGGGTTTGGGAGGGTGTAACTCTGCTTACGACTGGGAATCCCTTCGTTATCTTTCATGACATCTCTATAAAGTAATGCTGTTCATGCTCAATGTCCAAACATGTCTTTCTTCCTCATTTCTCCATTGTTTTCTCAAATTTATTCCTTGATCTTTTTTTTTTAAAGTTGACATCCTGTTTAGTTTGAGATCCTTGTGATGAGAGGTGTGTTTTTAGAAGGCTTCCACTTCTATTTAGCATCTTGATTTGTAAAGTACGAAATCACATTAAAACACGTATATCACACCACGTGATTGTCATCCACGACCGGTATTACAGTGCACAGCGTAGAAGGGAAGCGCTTCACTAGGGTCGCCATCCCCCCATTGGAGGTGGGTTTCACCCCGCTTTCAGGGGCCCCAATCCGCCACCAGCCAGCAGGCCAGCGGGGAAGCCTTTCCCCCGAACAGCCCCGTTGAGCTGGGCACGTTGTGTGTGGGACGCTCTAGCATTTGGGTAAAAATTCAATGGTGATGATAGAGTTCTTTACCCAAATGCTACAGCGTCCCCCACATGACATGCCCGCTGTAATGATGTCACTTCCAGGTAACGTCATCACGGCGCACGCACCAGAAGACCCTGGGAGCGAGGCTGGAGACCCCCGCAGGGACACAGGTAAGACCTGGCAACCCCACTCTTCACCCTCCAGATCACATGGGTCTGAGAGCACGAAATGTTGTGGGCATCGGCATGTTTGTTTTCTCACTGTCACAGTTGTTACGCTTGATCTTAGCCAAAAGGCCGAGAAGCAATCATTGTCACTATTCTTAATGGGTGCCTCCCTCCCTTTCCCCCAGAGACTGAAGAGATGAGCCTTTGAAGAGTAGAGTGTTTCAAGTCTTGCTAATCAAACAAACTGCTCCTTGCCAACTTGAGGCCTGGAGCTCCTGCAAGTCCTGATAACAGTGCTGGGAATGAAGCTCCTGGTTCACACAGTGAGGCCTGGAGATCTCTTCGAGTCCCATTGCGGCCGGGGTGAGCTCCCGGTCCTTGTCCTAGCTCCCGCCCACCCAGCGGTTCGAAAGCCCTCGGGAAAGTGGATGAATGGGTACCCACTTCTAGGAGTGGGGGGGGGGGACCTTCCTCCATGAACTGGAATGCAGCAGAAGCGGCAACGGCGACGGCGATGGATGGTTAATGGCAATCCGGCGATCCGGCAAACATGGCGGTGGCTGACGGCGAAAAGCAGCAAGCGACCCGGACGGTGATTGGCCTGGAGGGCGCGGTGATGGGACAACGCAACGTGGTCGGAGCCTATGAGGACGGAGACCAGCTGCTGCAGCCGTCACACAGCCGTGCACCACGCGGACCATGCCTGAAGGAGTCGCTGCGAAAAAGATCAGACCTTCACCGGGAAACCGCCACCTGGAGACCGAAGATCCCTCCACGGAAGGAACAACATAGAAGAGCTCGGCTGCTCAGGTGCCCGGTAGGCACTCACCCTCCCCTGTACTGTGGCCCTAGTCAGGTGACATTAAGAATGCTCTGTAAACCGCTCTGAGCCTGCGGGAAAGCGGTATATAAATGTAATATGTAATGTAATGTAATGTAACTGTTCTCCAGGCTCTACAGATCAGTTCCCCTGGAGAAAATGGCTGCCTCGGAGGGTAGACTCTATGGCATTATACCCTGCTGAGGTAGGGTTGCCGGGTCTCCCTTCGTCCCCAGAGGGGGACTTCGGGGAGTGTTCCCGGAGGGGGCAGGGTGTCTCCAACATGATGACATCACGTTGGGGACATCCTGGCTCCAAGCCCCGCCACCATGGGACGATCCACCAGCTGCAAGCCACAGCAGGAGGGCCCTGCCCGCCCGATCTCCAAGCGGCATTGCAGCTCGGAGATCGGGCATGCGGGGCCCTTTCCCACTGGCTGCGTGCACTTAAGGGGCTACCCGCCCAACCTCCGAGTGGAGATCGGGCCCACGGCCTGCAGCCTCCCCTCTCCCTCCTCTCTCTCAAGAGAGGAGGGAGAGGGGGAGCTGTGGGTGTTGGGACTTGGGGGCAGGGCTTCCCCGCCGGCCAGTTGGCTGGCGGTGGGTTGAACCCCCCAAAAAGCAGGTGACCCCTGCCAAACTGGGGGGTCTGGCAACCCTATGCTGAGGTTACCCCCTCCACAGGTTCAACCCCCAAATCTCCAGGAGTTTCCCAGTCTGGCTCTGGCATCCAGAACTTAAGCAGCAGTGGCAGGCAGGGACCACTACCCTTCACCGTGGGGGAAGTGAATGGACAGCGAGAGGAGCAACCCTTGGGCTATGCCGGGCTCCATGGCCATTCACTTCTTCACATGGCGAGCGCTAAGCAGCCCTGACTGCTAAGAGCAGCAAGGCCCCTGGTCACTTTCCTCAGGCCTCCGCCACTGCCTGGATGACCCGTGTCATAAACCCACCCTGGTTTTGCGTGTGTTCTTGCGTGTAAGCATGTCTTTCTTCGGTGCCCCCACCACAAACTAAATCCAACCCCCACATTTGCTAGTGGCTTGGGGAATAGTAGCAAAGGCTGACTCTGAGCATGTACAAAGGACAGAGTTTCACAGTTACTTCAGCCCTTCCCCTGTGCATGCGTGAGGGCGTGTGCGAGGGTCAGGCACGTGGGGAGGTATCTGAAACACAGTCGGCTCTCTTAAACAGGAGATACTTTTAAAACTGCAGGATATCAAGCTAGAGCACAAGGCAAGGGAAAATGACTATCACAACTATTAGCGACAGCAGATCTAAGAAAAGAACCAGAAAAGTCCTCTCCTGAAGATCTCCTGGGGTTACAACTGCTCGCCAGACTACAGAGATCAGTTACTCAGGAGAAAACGGCTGCTTTGGCGCCATTTGCTAACCTTAGCAATGCAGACATTACCTCCGCATCTCCCTCTATGTACGCCGATTCTGACTCCTGACTCGCTCCATGCAGGAGAATCTGATTCCAGCCTCTGAACACCGCTAGCTGGATGTTCAAACCTTTTTAATGCTGCCCACCAGGGCTTTTTTTGTAGGAAAAGCCCAGCAGGAACTCATTAGCATAATAGGCCACACCCAACAGCAGGAACTCATTAGCCTGTTAGGCCACACCCATGACAGCACAGCTCATTGGCATATTAGGCCACACCCCCATGTTACCAGAAGTGTGGTCATCCAGCCACGCCCACCTTTTGCTTCTTATTCTCTTTACCCAGGGCCTTTTTTGTAGCAGGAACTCCTTTGCATGTTAGGCCACACACCCCTAATGTAGCCAATCCGAATGAGTTTCTGCTGTTGGGTGTGGCCTATTATGCTAATGAGTTCCTGCTGGGCGTGGCCAACTTGGAAGCCAGCCGGAACTCCGTTCCTGTGCGTTCCTGCCCAAAAATAGCCCTGCTGCCCACCCTAGTTGGCTGGAAGTTCCTCACCCAATCCAGACTTGGAGAGTCCTCTGCCTTGTGGGATGGTGAACCTCTGCCTCCCAATCATTCAAGAGCACACATCCCACAAACCACAATACCCAGAACAGGTTTTAACAATAGCTATCCACCTTGCCCTTCCTGGCAGGTAGAGCAAATGGTTATCTCTTTGCAGAAATGCATCTCCACTCTTGCAGAAGTACATCAGTGGCTATTAGCCACAAGGTATAGACAGGAACTCTCATTCTGGGGTAAGGGATGCTCTGTATTCTTGGTGCTTGGGGGGGGGGCAACAGTGGGAGGGCTTCTAGTGTCCTGGCCCCACTGCTGGACCTCCTGGTGGCACCTGGTATTTTTGGCCACTGTGTGACACAGAGCGTTGGACTGGATGGGCCACTGGCCTGATCCATCACTGGGGGGGGGGGGGTTTGGGGGGGGGAATGGCCTGAAGTCCAATCAGCTTCCATATGCAAAATACCAGGTTGTCGCAGCAGTTGTGGTGTGGGCGGGACCCGGGCTTTGCCTTCTGATTGGTGGCGATATATGCTGAGGAGCAGTGCCATCAGCCATACACTAAGGGAGTGCATTTTAGAATTAGAACTTTGGCACCCACTATTCAATTATATATAAGGAGAGATGACACTGTGTGCATTTTATGGCTCTCTTCCCTGGGAAGGCAAGCCAATCCCAGAGCCCCAGGAACTCCCTGGCGAGCTTCAAAGCACCTTACATTCCTGTGTTCATGACAACTGGTACCTTGTGCCCTCTGTGGGGCACAGTGAAGAGTGAGGGAGGCTACTGGTGGCATCTCAGTGGGGTGGCATCTCAGTGGGGCTCCCTTGTGACCAGAAGCCAGCCCTGCCTTTGAGACCCAAAATCACTCCCTTATGGAGGGTACACCAGTTAGACGCCCTGGAATATATCCACATCCCTTTGCAGTTGCTAAAGAGACGGCTCTTAGCAAAACCATCAGGAGGGGAAAGCGAAGCAGTTGAGCATTTTTCTCACCCTCAAATCAGTGGCGACTGCCAAGTCTGGAGTGCACTTCCATGACAACAGCTCATAGAGAATCAGTTCATAAGTTATACTGAGATTCCCCCCGGCATTTCCCATGGCTCTCGCACGCGCCACAAATCTTCAGTTGTGCTCTGCACAAATAAGGCAGCGTGCGTTTCCATTGGGGGGGGGGGGGGGGGGGTTATAACACTATTCGTTCTTGTTAAAACGAAAAGCCTGAAAAGACCTGCGATATTCTCAGGGCCGTCTTAACAACCAGATCGGCAATCCGTTATTTATACGCATAGATTTTCTTCCTTTAAAAAGCAGTTATTCAACAGATGCCACGCGCACGAACGTTCAAAGCTCTGAGTTATCGGATGAATTAAGAAACGCGTTCTCACTTCTGCGTGGGGTGAATGAAAAGCTCTGCAGTCAGCAAAGTCCCCATGCAGAATTATCTG